CAGAAAATGCTGGAAGTGGCGCTGTGGCTCAAGTGGTAGTGCACTAGCCTTGAGCTGAAGAGATGAGGACAGTGCCCAGCCCCAGAGTTCAGGCCCCTTGACCAACAAAAGAAAAAGAAAAAAGAAAAAAAAGAATAGAGAATGAAGTTGATCTTGAGGCTGAGTCAGGGAAACAAATTAGGTTTGATTCCTCCTCCCCACAAAGGGTTTCACGTATCTAGACCAAACAAACTGGCCTTAACTGGCTATGTAACACAGGCTGACCTCAAATTCAGTAGTTTCCTCAGTGGTGGCATTATAGGCATGTACCACCCTACCTATCACTCCTAGTAAACAAGAGATGAAAGAGCTAGAATTATAATGAAGTATGCAAGAAGAATCTTGGGATTTAACCGGATCTTAGGAAAAATGACTAGACGAAGGATAGAAAACAGAAGGAAGGAGTTTTAGTTGACGCTGCCCTTTTGAGCCTGGTTGACCGATATAATGGTGAAAAATGTTTCCTTCAATACTTACTACTTCCCTTTCCGTTCAATGGGCCATTTTAGAAATTTGTGGGAGAATTTTTCATTGCTCTTAATAGTATTTTCCCATTTCTAAAATGCCCTTTCTGCCACTCCACCATTTTTTTTTGGGGGGGGGGGTCCAGTGGTGGGGCCTGAACTCTGGGCCTGGGCGCTGTCCCTCAGCTCTTCAGCTCAAGTCTAGCTCTCTACCACTTGAGCCACAGCGCCACTTCCGGCTTTTTTCGTTTTGCTTATGTGGTGCTGAGGAATCGAACCCAGGGCCTCATGCATGCAAGGCAAGCACTCTACCACTGAGCCTCCTTCCCAGCTCCTCCACCATTTTTTTTATTGTTATGATAAAGGTGATGTACAGAGAGGTTACAGTACAGAAGTCAGGTAATGAGTATGTTTTTGGTTGTTATTGTTGGTTGTGGAGCTTGAACTCAGCCTGGACGCTATCCCTGAGCTCTTTTGCTCAAGGCTAGTGTTCCACTTTGAGCAACAGTATCACTTCTGGTTAATTGGAGCTAAGACTCTCTTGAACTTTCCTGCTTGGGCTGCCTCAAATCTAAGATCTCAGCCTCCTGAGTAGCTAGGATTTCAGGTGTGAGTCACCAGCGCCTGGCATGAGTACATTTCTTTTTGAACATGCTACCCCTTCCCTCATTCTCATTTTCAACAGTGTCTAGTGGCTACTCTACAATTAGTAAAGAGCACTACTATAGCTATAAAATGTTGAAAAATAGAACAGAATTTATAATATAATGTATCATGGGTGCTGTGAGGCAAGAAGGAAGAGAAATAAAGAAAAAATGAAACAATATCAGGATAGTGCTAGAAGTGAAGGAAAAGGAGGAACTAGTTTCACAAGTAAGCCTTAACAGCTATATATATACACACACACACACACACACACACACACACATATACATATGTGTGTATGTATAAATGGTGTATTTATTTTTTTTGTCGTGGGGCCTAAACTCTGGGTTTGGGCACTGTCCCTCAACTCTTCAGCTTAAGGCTAGCACTCTACCATTTGAGCTACAGCGCCACGTCCGGCTTTTTCTGTTTAGGTGGTGCTGAGGACTCAAACCCAGGGCCTCCTGCATGCAAGGCAAGCGCTCTACCACTGAGCCACCTTTCCGGCCCTAAATGGCTTAATTTTAACCTCTTCATTATATTCTTTCTTAAAAGTCTTAGTCTCTATAACTTCTTCAGCTTGCGCTGAACTCCTGAAGTTCTGGGTTAGAGCTGCTACTAAGCCTGGTAATTTTTTAACCCCTTTGAATATTTCAGTGGGCTGCATGTGACTGTTTGGATTGTGCAGTGTCATATAGGAGTGGTAACTTAATGATCTTCATTGTGCTCTCCCTCACCATCTTCCCTCCTCTCTCTTCCTGTATTTTTAATCATTTTTTTCCCTCGCCTTCCCTTTCTTCTTTCCTTTCCTCTTTCTCACTCTCCTTCCCTCTTCCCCCCCTTTTTTTTTTTTAGCATTTGGGATTATTCTGCCATTAATGAATAGCTATGTCACTTATATCCCATTGCTGATTTTCTTCCTTTGTGTTATATAATAAATTTTCTTTTTTAAAAATAGAATCTTAGCTGGACACTGGTGGCTCATGCCTATAATCCTAGCTACTCAGGAGGCTGAGATCTGAGGATTGCGGTTCAAAGCCAGCCCGGGCAGGAAAGTCCGTGAGACTCTTACCTCCAATAAACCACTTGAAAACCGGAAGTGGTGCTATGGCTCAAGCCAGTAGGGCGCTCGCCTTGAGCTGAAGAGTGCAGAGGCAGCACCCAGGCCCAGAGTTCAAGCCCTACAACCGACCAAAAAAAAAAAAAGAATCTTATTGTTACTATTAAGGTGTTGTATAGAGAGGGATTACTATTTTATAAGTCAGATAGTGAGTACAATTCTTTTTGGACAGTGTCACCCCTTTCTTTGCTTCTAAGTTTTAATGCAGAATCTTCTGATAATTTTTTTTTTTTTTTTTGGTCTGGTCATGGGGCCTGAACTCTGGGCCTGGGCGCTGTCCCTCAGCTCTTCAGCTCAAGGCTAGCACTCTACCACTTGAGCTACAGCGCCACTTCTGGCTTTTTTCTTTTTGCTTATGTGGTGCTGAGGAATCGAACCCAGGGCCTCAGTCATGCAAGGCAAGCGCTCTACTACTGAGCCACCTTCCCAGCTCCTCTTCTCATAATTTTTGAAGGTATTTAGGCAGTAGTTAGAACCAAAATTGCCCATGTGCAGACAAGTTAGCCAGCTATATCCCAGCAGTGGCAATTGTAACATGATATTTATTTAAGATGCAGTCTAACCAGAAAAATTAAAATATAAAAAAGAAAATTGGTCTCTTTAAAAAAAAAAATCAGGGGCTGGGAAGGTGGCTCAGTGGTAGAGCGCTTGCCTTGCAAGCCTAAGGCCCTGGGTTCAATTCCTCAGCACCATATAAGCAAAAAGAAAAAAAGCCGGAAGTGGCACTGTGGCTCAAGTGGTAGAGTACTAGCCTTGAGCTGAAGAGCTGAGGAACAGCGCCCAGGCCCAGAGTTCAGGCCCCACAACCGGACCCCCCCCCAAAAAAATAAAAAAAAATCATCAGTTGCTTAAAAGTGAAGAGGGCACTAAGTGTCTCCTCCTTGAGTCCAGGGTCTCACCCCAGCTCTGTGCAGGGAGGAGATCTGATGGAAGTGTAGAAAACTCCGAGGAGTCCACTAACAGAAGGCCAGAAATTATCTTCCAGTAAGAGGATAGATAATCAAATAGTTGATTATGGAGACTAATATACCTTGATTTTCTATTTCTTCCACTCCCTCCTTCCCTTTTTCCCCTCCCCCCTTTTGGTACTGTGGCATGAACTCAGAGACGTTCTTGGGGGGTGTGTGTGTGTGTGTGTATGTGTATGTCTGTGTGTGTGTGTGTGTCTGTGTGTGTCTGTGTGTGTGTCTGTGTCTGTGTCCTGGGGCTAACTCTAGGCCTGGGCTTTTGTGCTCAAGGCTAGTGGTCTACCACTTAAGCCGTGTGTGTGTGTGTGTGTCTGTGTCTGTGTGTCTGTGTCTGTGTCTGTGTCTGTATCTGTATCTGTATCTGTATCCTGGGGCTGACTCTGGGCCTGGGTTTTTGTGCTCAAGGCTAGCGGTCTACCACTTAAGCTGTGTGTGTGTGTGTGTGTGTGTGTGTGTGTGTGTCTGTGTGTGTGTGTCTGTGTCTGTGTCTGTGTGTCTCTCTCCTGGGTCTGGTCCAGGTCTGGGCCTGCGCTTTTGTGCTCAAGGCTAGTGTTCTACCACTTAAGCCATAGCTTTTTTGGTAGTTCATTGGAGATCAGAGTCTCACAGACTTTCTTACCTTGTCTAGCTTTGCACTATGATCCTCAGATCTCAGCCTCCTGAGTACCTAGGCTTACAGATGTGAGTTTAGCTTTTTTGCTTAGCTGGCTTTCTAATTAAGCCACGTAAGCCATCTATTTAAGAAATCACTTTGGAATTTTTGGTGATTAATTGGACATACCAATCTCATGGATTTGCCGGCCTGGGCTGGCTTTGAATCTTTATCTTCAGATCTCATTCTCCTGAATAAATAGAACTACAGGTGTAAGCTACTACTATTGTTAGCTCCTTCCTTTTTAAAGAGTATTGTACATACCAGGCAGGTGCATGCCACTATACCTGGTTTATTATTGCTTCTGAAATGTTACTTTTGAAATGCATTGGCTTTATCATTTTAACTTGACCCAAGGTAATTTTTTTTTAAAGCATCTCCAGTGTACAAATTGCTAACCAGGAAGTGAGGAAGAGGTAGAGCAGATGCTGTTGAGATATGTGAGGAGGTCCTTGATAATAAAATGGTGCATGCCTATAATTTCAGAGGGGAGGTGGATACTGGAGAATCTCCAGTTAGATGCCAAGAATCCTTGTCTCTCAGGGTAACATGGGCTATTCCAAGTCAGTAAGAGAAACGTAAATGTGTTTTATTCATGTCTATTGCTCTAAAGCTAATAGAGAAAAATCTTTAATTTGTCTGCTTCTGCTTGCTTCACTAGTTGACTCTATATCATATATATATATAGTGGTCATGAGGCCTGAACTCTGAGCCTGGATATGTTCCTTAATTCTTCAGCTCAAGGCGAGCACTCTACCACTTGAGCCACAGGGCTATTTCTGGCTTTTTTCTGCTTATGTGGTGCTGGGGAATTGAACCCAGGGCCTCATGCATGCAAGGCAAGCACTTTACCACTGAGCTACCTTCCCAGACCCTGACTCTGTATCTTGTTGCCTCAGATAAATATGAGAAAATGATTAGTTTGGAGAGTAGGGTAGATTTAATTTCACTTTGCTTGCTGTATTGCTATAAATAGGAATTTAAAAAATCTCGTTCTTAGGATTTCAGTTGAGAGAAAATAAAGCACTAACAACATACTCTGTTGTACATTCTGGCTTGAAATTTACACTTCATCTTGACTAATTTTATGGAGCTATTTTTCTCTTCAACAGGTTTCTTCACATATAGAATTCTTTGTAAAAATACGGAGAAGAATGGCAGCAGAAACTCAGACACTGAACTTTGGGCCTGAATGGTGAGTTTTAAGTCTCATCCTATTTGATAATGCAGTATGTAGTAAGTTAATAATACAGGTACTGGGTAGTCTATAAATGTGCATGTTTTTGAAATTTTGCTTTATGTGCCTAGTTCAAAATAACATGGCTAGGTCAGTAATAAAATTATATTTGGTAAATGATTATATTCTATTATTTTATTGATTTTTTTTTCTTGGTCTGGTTATGTGTTGGTAATGGAATTAAAACTCACCATAATCCACCATCCTAGAACATTGTTTATGTTTTAAGTCTTTGTCTAGGTAAATATAAGTTTATATAAATAAAATTGTAACATTTTAATATCTATATGTTTTCTGCTACAGTTCTGTTTTGTAATTGCTATTCATAGACTTGTTTGAAAAAATAGTTTTAATTGAAGTGTTATTTAAATTTTATTTTATTGGTGGGCTAGACAGGTGGTCCAGAATTATACTGGCTATTAGCAGTAGCCCAGCTAGAATTGAGTTAGCACTTGCCATAATAACAATTAATTGACCTTTGAGTCTCTTACAGATTGTTTGGACCCGAATATGGAATTCTCATGGAATTTTGAGATCCATCACATTGTAGTGTGACTTTTCCCCCCTCTTCTTCCTTTTCCCCAAAAGTTGATGATTGAAGATCCTCTCTTCAGTGGCGTGAATAATGATAGTTACTTTTTCCATTCATACTTCGAACAACCCCTTGGGTAATGTCAGAGACAGTATTTATAGTTGATGAGCTGGATTAGTGCCTTAAACGTTCATGATTATTGAGGTGTGAAGGCAATTTGGTAAGACTTTCTGTAGTAGTTCCTGATTTGAGGATTCTTATGCATACTTACCCAGTGGTATACATTTCCTTTTTTATGTATTTCCTAGATTTCCCTAACCTTTCTAGCTAACATTTAGAGACTGAGGAGAAATTACTATTTGAGGGTTGATGCAACTTCTGTAGTTTGAGTTTATTTTAAAAAATACTGACCCAAGTGATGCTGCACTTGTATTAGTACTTTCTATTTTAAAGAGCATTTTACTACCAAATTAATATTTACAAAAATAAAAAATTATAAGTAATAGAGAAGGTATAGCCAAAATTTCACCATCTGTGGTAATCTCTGTAAATATCTTGGTGTATCTTTCCAGGTGGTTCTATGTATCTACTTGTATATATATGTACACTTATTTTCACAGAAATGGGATCATACTGTAACTCAATTTTGTAACTTAAAAAAATCTAAATCAAAGCCATCATTTTTTAAAATCAATAAATATTTCTGTTTTGTTAAATAGTTTCATTGTATGGATGTACTATCATTTATTTAACTAGTCCTCCAGATATAGTACGTAGAGATTGTTGTCAGTTTTTCATTATTATAAAAATATTTTAATGAGCTTTTTTAATAGTTGAATCTTTATTCACGCCTTACTTATTTTACCAGGTGGATTTAAATTCATGTAGTTCACTTTGCAAAGCACTTCATGTGCAGCTCTTCTGCTGTTACTTGAATTTATAATTCTTGTATTCATTTATAAACCTTATGTCTTTTTCTTTACAAAAACATAGTAAACATCTTTTAAAGTGTCTTGTCAATAGGTAAAAATAGCAACACCAGAAATTAAGAAAAACAAAACAAATTGGTAATATTTGTTATTTGACATTTAGCTTGATGTTTTACATCATAGGTTGCCAAACTGCAGTCCATGGGACTGTAAGTAAAGCTTTTGTAAAATTTTGTAAAGTGTTACTGGAAGGCAGCCATTCCCATTTGTTTCTATCTTACCTGGTTACTTTTATGCTACTTTGACAGGTCTAGTAGTTAAATTAGCTTCTCAGGGCTTAAGTAATTTCTCTGACCCTAAACAGAATAATTTGGCTGGCTCCTGCCATACAGCATGCATTCCTAAACAGCAAGTCATTTCTAGGTATTTCTGTGTCTTTGAACCATCTGTCAGTAGTCTCTTACACACTCTCATTTTCATTGGTTCTCTGAAGTTTTGTTTGATGGTATTTTGTTTGATCAGCCTAGTGTTTTAGGCAAAATTTGAATTGAGATAGTTTTAGCAGTGGGCAGTAACTGATCCCTTCCTAAAGCCAGTAGTGTTATCTGGTTTTACGTCTGTTACCCTGCAAGTTTACCCTAAGTCACAGAAATTGCTAATAAACTGAGGAATGAAAGTATAAGTGGACACTGCTTTATTGGTGTCATGTATCAAAATTTCTTGAAGCTCTTAAAGCATTGACCCTGAGCTAGAAAGCACAGTATGATAGGGACTATTGTCATGTTTTTCTACATGTAATCGTTCATTATGGATCTGAGGGAAGTATCAAGGATTTCAGTGATTGCATTGAATTGAATGTGTATCTCTGAATGATACAGAAACATTTAGTGATGTTCTTTCCAGGAAGGTCATCATTCTTGTAATGAACAATGTAAAATATGTTTAATGAGAGATTGATAAAATAAAGAGATTTATTTGTATGTGGGGGCAGTTGTGAAGATGGGAGAACACTGAAACTTGTGGTGGGGCTAGAACACACCTGTAGGTTTAGACCTGACAATCGATAAAATCACTAGGCTACAGATTATATTTGGATAAAGAAATTTTTACAGAACCATCAAAACAACTTAAAAGGATGTGATAGATTTAATGGAGAAGTAAATCACTCCTACGTATGAATTAGTCACTTTTTACAGCCTTTCTTAAATGCTACTACCATAGAACTTTCCTGACCGTCTGTACAACTTGCCCTGTGTCCCTCTTACTCCCTATCATAACTCCTTCAGTGGTCTGTAGAAAATGTTACATGCCAAATACCCTGTGCACATATTTTCTTTATTATTGATAGCTCATCCTCTATTCCCACTAGACTGTGAGCTCCAATGAGGGCAGGTATCTGGACTGGATTTTTGTATAGCTTGTTCGTTACTGTATCTCCAGTGCCTGGCATATAGTTAGGCACTCAATAAATGTTTATTAAATGAATAAGTGAATTGTTGGAAAGTAAACTTGTTTTTAATGTTTTGCTATTGAAAGTGATATGTATATACACGCCTCTGAATGGTTTGTTTGTATTTGAGTCCTTTCCTTGAAAAAATTTCTTGGAGGTAGAATTGTTAAATCAAAACTTCCATTTTAGGGTTTTTGGAAGATAATGTGCAGACTGGCCACCAGAAAGATTGTATGAACCTGATTTCCATCCTGTGTGTTTACTTTATGTTTGATGAAACACTTAAGTGGTTATTAATGGAACTTTTTTTTTTGTATGTGCTTATGGATCTTACATTGTTATTTACAGTAACAAATCTACCCATTCTGATAATCTGGGAGGAAATTATAGTAGTACAGAAGAAAAAAGAAAACATCCAAATTACCCTTAATACTATATCCCAAGAGCCTTTGCTAGGGTTTTGATTTTTATCCTTCATCTTGTTTCTTTGCAAATGTGTACTTTAAGGCATACAAGAAACCAACAAATGGCTCTTGTTTAATACAGTTTTTTTTTTTTTTTTTTTTCCAGTTGTGGGCCTGAACTCTGGGCCTGGGCGCTGTCCCTCAGCTCTTCAGCTCAAGGCTAGCACTCTACCACTTGAGCCACAGCGCCACTTCTGGCTTTTTTCTTTTTGCTTATGTGGTGCTGAGGAATCGAACCCAGGGCATGCATGCATGCAAGGCAAGCGCTCTACCACTGAGCCACCTTCCCAGCCCCAATACTGGCTTTTTTTTTGAGAATCAGAAGCCTCAATTTTAGTCTAGATGAGGACTTTTGAGATATGGTGGTGCTGTGTAGCTTAGGCTGGCCTAAAACTCCCTGCTCCAGCCTCAGCCTCTGAATGCAGAGATTACAGACATGTACCACGATGTCTGGCCTAGACAAAGACTTAATTGTAGGGAGCATTATTATAGTGACCTGGCTACAGAGGATGCTTCTTTGAGGTGGTTTCTTGTATCACATATCCATGGTCTTCAGGAATTCTTCCCAGATCTTTTCTTGTCAAAAAGAGGGACTTACTCTATTTTCCCCAGAGCACTTAGTTTATACCTGTTAAAATGGTCACCTTTTTGTGGTTTATCTCTTTCGTATATGTGTTTGCTTTAGGAAAGCTATACTGTAAAAAAACGAAAACATAGTATTTCCCCATTTAGTAAGTTGGTGGTTTACTTTAGTGCTTTAGTCAGAAGTAGACACACTAAATTTTGTTGAATGAAGGCCTTTGGGAGAGTGTGTTGGGGATAAGATCATGTAAACCTGAGATTGCTAGCTTACTATCTGGAATTTTTGTGGAGAAAATGGAGAAGTTTTGGAGCATAGAACACATTATAATTCTTAGTTTACAAAAGGGTGAGAGGGTAGTAAGCTTAAAGAGGCAGTAAAGTAGATATTATGCAAGAGTATGTTTTAGAAGAGTATATTAAGACTGGTTCAGAAAAACATTTTACCAAATGCTTGCTACATTCTGTATCAATATCTAGATCCCAGTCTCACTCTGTCTTGCATGCTCCTTCCACTTCTCTGTTCTTCCCATTTAAGCTTTCTTCTCCCTAGCATCTGTACTCTGCATTGTTGAAAAGAAAGTTTGGAAAATGTTTCTACAGCAAAAAGGGCATGTTTGAAGACGTATTATCAAGAAGCTGCAGATGTAAAAGGACTCAGATGTTTGCCTTTACTGTAATACGAAGTGTGGGAGAAATGTGTTTGGGGGCTGAAGAATCTTTGAGTTTTATTTGGTCATGGTGTGTTGGTGAAGGATTAGAGTTTTCAGGTGTGCATTTTAAATAAGTAATTTGTTGTAATGTGAAGATAGACTAAGACTAGTTAATATCATCAAGGATACTGTTACAGAAATAAAAGCATAGCAACAATTAGGTCACTAGATAAAGAGATGGCTTGAGATTTGGGATTCAGTAAGATGTGAATGGGAATAGGAGAAGTGAAGGCCGAATCCCAGACTCTTTAATTTAGTGGTTGAATAGATGGTAGTGTCCTTCCCTCTGGA